ATTGTTTATGGTCATTATATCACGCGTCACAAACCTTACAGCAACGCGAAGATGCCATGTTCACCAGATTCCGACCATTCAATCGCCCAATCGCTGGCAAACCCGCAGCTTTCCGTCTTGTCATCCTCTGCCTATACTCCGCTCCCTCTCTCCTCCGTTCTCATCGACCGCCAGATTATGAACCCAACCACGACCAGAACCAGCTCCGACTACAAGAACCCATCACAAACAGACCATATTGGACTAAGAGGATCCACAATCTATGCACCATACACCGTAACGTCGAAGAAGCCCTTCGCCTCCTCGACTTCCTCTGCCTCCATGGCTACCTCCCGGATTCCCTTAATCTTAGTAGCATTATTCACGCCCTTTGCGACGCCAACCGATTCCCCGAAGCTCACCATCGTTTTCTTCTGTCCTTAGCTTCTGGTTTAGCACCCGATGAGCGCACCTGTAATGTAATAATTGCTCGGTTACTAGATTCCAGAACCCCACAGAGCACATTTCATGTTATACGATCTCTGCTTGATGTAAAGCCCGAGTTTGTGCCTTCTTTGATTAGCTATAATCGTTTGATCGACCAGTTTTGTACGGTTTATTCTGTAAATGTGGCGCATAGGTTGTTTTTTGATATGAAAAACAGGGGTCATTGTCCTAATGCTGTTACGTATACTACTTTGATAAATGGGTACTGTAAAATTGGTGACTTGGGGACTGCGCACAAGCTGCTCGACGAAATGCGTGAGTGTAGTGTGGTGCCTAATTCGCTCACTTATAGCGTGTTGATTCGCTGGGTGTTTAGAAGGCGAGATGTTGAATATGGGAAGGAGTTGATGGGCAAGCTTTGGGAGAGAATGAAGGATGAAAATGATCCCAGTTTGAACACTGCTGCCTTTGCCAATCTCATTGATTCTTTGTGTAGAGAGGGGTTCTTCAATGAAGTTTTCAGGATTGCAGAGGAAACACCTCAAGGAATGAGTGTGAATGAGGAATTTGCTTATGGTCATATGATTGATGCTCTTTGCAGAGCTGGAAGGAACCATGGTGCTTCAAGGGTTATCTATATAATGAGGAAGAAAGGGCTTAGGCCTAGCTTAATGTCATACAATTCTGTTATACATGGGCTTTGCAAGGAGGGAGGTTACATGAGGGCTTACCAGTTGTTAGAGCAAGGGATGGAGTACAGTTACTTGCCTTCTGAATACACTTACAGGATCCTAGTAGAAGGCCTTTGCCAAGAATCTGACATTGACAAGGCAAAGCAACTTCTTCAGATAATGTTGAATAAGGATGGTGTGGATAGAACTAGAATTTACAATATATATCTACAAGCTCTTTGCCTAATGAATAACCCAACTGAGCTTTTAAATGTAGTTGTTTTTATGCTTCAGACCCAGTGTCAACCTGATGTGATTACCTTAAACACAGTTATCAATGGGTTCTGCAAAATGGGGAGGATTGAAGAAGCTTTGAAGATACTAGATGATATGATGATGGGCAAATTTTCTGCTCCTGATGCAGTTACATTCACTACTATTATCTGTGGTCTACTAGACGCTGGGAAAACAAAAGAAGCTCTTGCTCTATTGAATGAAGTAATGCCTAAAAAAGGTTACAAACCTGGTGTTATTACTTATAATGCAGTTGTTCGTGGTCTGTTTAAAATCCATGAAGCAAGCAAAGCAATGGGGGTCTTCAATAGCATGGTAAGTAATGGTGTGGCTGGAGACAGTACCACTTATGCCATAATTGTTGATGGATTATGTCAGTCAGGCCAAATAGAGGAGGCTAAGAGATTCTGGGATGATACCATTTGGCCTTCACAAATTCATGATGAATATGTTTATGCAGCTATTCTAAAGGGTCTTTGTAACTCAGGCAATTTGAACGAGGCTTGTCATTTCCTTTATGAACTGGTTGATTCTGGGGTCACTCCGAATATCATATGCTATAACATTGTGATTGACAAGGCATGCAAGTTAGGCTTGAAGAAAGAAGCTTATCAAATTGTGGGAGAACTGAGAAAGAATGGGCTTGAACCAGATGCAGTAACTTGGAGGATTCTTGATAAATTACATGGCAACCAGAGGATAGAATTTTGTGCCAAGGATTCACCAATTCAACCATGAATTGAAGGCAGTCAAGAGGTGGGTTCATTCAAACCATCTTAGTTAAGCCTTCTGCCATTATTCATTCTGAAGTTTCTTGTGATTTTATTGAATTATCTTGCCTATTTTGATTGCTACAGAGGAAATCTTTCAGTTGATTGTATTGGCACTTGAACATATGTGTTTGACATTCAGCTATATCTATTCTGAGAGGATCTCACTTCTTAGTTCCATAGCAAAGGTCAGATTATGGGTGATGATGCTGGATTTCAGTGTGATTCTTTGATTCTCAATCTCAAGTTGTTAAGCTCTTTCTGAGAACTTTAAGGTGAGAAATTGAGCATGATCTATTAATGCTTGTGCATTTTCCTCTTGTTTAATCGTGCTTCTGATGAGGTCTTGTCTTTTGATTATAACAGCTTAGGGGAACAAGTAGCTTCAGTTATTGTTATTAATTAATAATGGTCTAATCTTCCTCCATATGTATCTAAGAAAATTCTTAAAGGAAATAACCTCACAGTGTTACTTATTTCACCCCTGGCATATGCTCATCTCATGTGAAACAATGACAAAAACTTTTCCCCTGCTTCTAGTGTTATAGCTCAGAAATTTGTAATTCGTTCCCAGCAGGGCACAGAAGTCATGCCTTAGTTTTCTTTGTCATTTTTGGGTTAAAATATCTTATCTTTCTGCAACGAAGAATTTCCTCTTCCCTGTAGAAAAATTGCTACTTGCATTGCTTTTTCTTGGTTCCATGTAAAAGACTCCATATTTTAAGTGACAATACTTGGAATACAGGGATTTGTCTTGAATTCACCCATGATCTATATAACTTAGTTTGCAAGTCAGTAATCTTGTTTAATTGGTTTTCACCTTCTAATCTATTAGTTCTGAATCAATTGTTATCATCATCATCAGTGCTGTAATTATCTCATTTTACCATTCCCCTCAGGGACAAGAGAACTTCAAGGAGAATGTCACTCATTTCACTCTGTCTCTGACTGGGCAGTTTGAAATGGAACCCAGAAAGTTGATGCTGTGCTTTGGAAAATCCATTTCTCAGGAATGTGGGTTCTGTTCTTCGCTGAACATGTAATGCATGAGAATGAAGATAGGCTAGTGCCTGTTAATTGTGGCACTAGAAAGCTCAACAACTCGTGTATTGGGTGCCAGGCCTTTTTTTTCCAACTTGCTGACGGTTTGTGCAAACAATAACATCATAAAGGCACATACAATTGGAGAAGGGACTACTTGAGGTCAGCTTTTGTGAAATATCATTATCATTTTTACTTAGCTCAAAATTTAAAGCTTTGGTTATTTTTTATTGGCATTTACTGTTTTGGTTTGATCTCTTTGACATGTAAATATCACATACCAGTTATCAATTCTTGTTTAGATGCATTTGGTTTTTATTTCTTCTTATTCTTTCTAATCGTCTGAACCTGAACCATGAATTGTCTTATGACTCATCAATAAGAGATAGATGATGAATTTTTTGAATGAGTTGTTCAAGTCAATTCAAAGAAGAAGGGATCCCTTCTCTCGCTACAAGTTGATCCCCAAATCTTCTTCTCTCCCTCCATCAACTAATTTTATTCTTGAATCTTGTACTTATTCGTGAGATTGAGAAAATCAAATCTAGAAATATAGATAACATAGAGATAGATCTATTCGTCTAATTTCTTCGCGTATCGAATTACCAGGGCATCGTATATATTTTTTTATTGTCTTCTTTCCTGTATTCCTGAAGATGAATATAAAATTCCAGTGTAAATATATATATATATATATATATATATAGTTTCATTCATTTCACAAGGGGACCATTGTCCCTATGTAAGGTCATAATATATGAAGTTCAACGCATATTAAGGTCACCAGGAACAATTATGGTTGTTGACACATTAGCATGGGGCTCGCGTTCGCTTTTACATCAAAGTAGGGCTGTCTTCTGGTATGATGATGGCACGCCTGAACTTGCCATTGACCCTTTAATATTTATCGCCCCTCGCCATCATAACAGCACATTCATTCATTCATTCTCATTCTTTTTTGCTCAGTTCTTTTGTTTTCTCATCAAGCGGGCGACATAAACTTAGTTTAGAATTCATCCTAGATAGATAAACAGAGACTGGAGTTTAAAGTTAAACAGAGTAGACATCATACACAGCCTTGACTTCATTCTACCACACAAAGCCAGAACCTTTTCAAACATTTTTACGTAATCAAGGACTACAGAACTCATAATATATCTTCCCATTGATCTTTCCATGATTTACCTCATGTTTTGGGATTGAATCTTCTCTTCATTGTCCCAATCTGCTTCAGACTCAGGCCAAAAGCCTTCTGTAAAAGTTCTTCGTTGATGCCAGAGCCAAAAACTGCAGATGGGATCTTCTGATTTCCTGGATTCTGGCTGTTAAGACTTCCAAAAATTGTAGCAGGTGTCTTTCCAACGTTCATCAGGAAGTGCACCAAGCCCCGGGGAAACACCATGACCTCTCCTTGCTCAATCACCCGAGCAAAAACCCGATTACCTGAATCGACAAAGCCAGCATAAATCCGTCCTTGCACGACATATGCAATTTCAGTTGCTCTAGGGTGAAAATGAGGTGGATTGATCCCATCAACCTTCAGGTCAGCACGTACAAATGACATGCCTAACGTGTTAAGCCCTGGAAATACTGTTGGATTCACAGGGATGGTGGCCAGGCCTGTGTCAGTGAAATTCCCAGCAGATTTCAGACCAGAGAAGACGAAATCATTGGTGGTTGCTTCGTCGGAGTTCTTGCATGGGAGAATGCTGAGATGGGCAGTTTTTATGGAGCCAAACAAAGGGTTTGGAATGCAAAAATCTTGTAATGGGTCAGGATCTGAGGCCAGGACAAGGCAGCCACGGAGATTGAGGGAGAAAATGAGCAGCAAAACCAACAATTTTGAGGACATTTTTGCTCTCTCTTTGGTTCTTACCTCCACTCAATACTTCGCTCAGAAGGGCTTATATAGAAAGAAATTAATCTGTAAAGTTAGCCAAAAGCTAAAACCTTAAATAAAACCGAAATACGCTCCAATACACTTGTTTAAAGGCAAAAGTCACATTTACAGAAGCAGGATCTTATTATCAGCCATGTCTTAAGGAATTCTGTATGAAAAATTATTTCTGTAGGGTCCTGTTAATTATTTCTTTCGGCATATTAATTAAAGTTAAATCATCAGTATGATTGTATCGATTGTATTTTAATCGAGAAATCTTTGGCGTGGTTTAGCAAGCAATGATTCAAATTTATTTAGAATTAATGTCCTTAGAAAATTAGTTCACTTAAACATGGTTTTTTTTTTTTTTTTGGTTAATTTTGTTGAAGCATGGATGCTATGTCCTTTGCTTGGTAGTGAAGGGAAGCAGTAGTGGTTTTTACTTTTTAAAAATAATGATTAATTCCACTCATCCGAACGTGATGACATTCATGTTCCAAAAAAGAGCACATGTAGAGATAAAAGACGTTGACTATAGAGTATAAAGAGTTATTTTTTGTCAATTCTATTAAAAATTTAGTTTTAATTCATTATTAGATTAATTTTTGAATTAAAATTGATTTATTTGAGTTTCATAATTCAGTTAAAGTTGTTACCACAATACCCGTCTAAATATGGGCAAGTACTGCAGAACGGAACTAAATTGATTGCAACAATTCAAACTAGTCATGCGGGATGGACTTAATTTAATTGTAACAATTACAAGCATACAGTGGTATATATATTTTGTGTTGTTTAATGTTTATTAATGTTAAAGTTTACGTTGTATCATGTCACAATTTATAAATCTCCTAATTTTGACTTTAAAAGACCCCGTTGAAAAGGTTTAGCTCCTGTACTTGTAATTATATACCATAGTCACCTTTAATCTACAGCAGGATCTTATTTACCTATCACTTAAGGGAAACCTCTACTTAAATGAAAAGAATTTTTATTAACGATTTAAATAATTTAATAATTATTTCTTTTTGTTGGAAGTAAAAAATCCTAAATTTGAGTCATATGACATACGAGTGGGGTGAGGTAAGAAATGAGATAATTACCTCACATTATGTAATCAAGAAAAAAAAAAAAAAAAAAAGGATTTCCAAGACAAGAAGCAAGAAAGCAGGTGTGGGAGGAACGCTGATTTTCCATGGGCCTTCGGTAAAATGTAATGGGTCTGATATCGACTGAAATAGTTTGGGTTTCTTAAACTATGTTTAGGCTTCAAACCCAGTTTCTGAAGGTATTTTCTGTCTTGCAAGCAGAAACCAGTAATACTATTGTATTACTACTAATGTTAAAGTTGAGCCCAGCATTTTGTTGCCCAAAATAACAGACGAAAATATGCAACTGGCCCAGCATTTTGGAACCCAAGACAGAACCGGACGCTGGCCGACTCCATGCGAAACAACTCACAACTACTCTCCCTTATCTCCGAAACGAAACAAATGTTTTCAATTAATCCACCTATACTCTCCAAAAAAAATTCCAATTCAAATTTCTTAGTTCATTTTTGAGTGCTCCTCTTGCTATTGGTTCATCTCATCCTTCTTTTTTTTTTTTTGAAGAAATTTTTTTATATCTTATTGTTAAAATAAAAGCATATTTGAGCCAATAAAAACCCAGATAATATATCTCTCTTATACCTTCCCTCCCATCACTTCTTTATCCACCTCTCACTTCACTTCTCCCTCTCATTTTCTCTTATAGGGGGTGTTTGGTAAAATTTTAAAAATATTTATATAAAAAATTATTTTTTTATAAATTTAAAATTTTATTAAAAAATATAAAATTAAAATAATTTTTTAAAAATTATATATTTAAATTTTTGTTCAAACTTAAAATTATTTTAAAAAGTCAATTATTAATTTTTTTTAACAAAATTTTAAATTTATAAAAAAATTTACTTTTAAAATAAATAATTTTTTTAAAATTTATCAAACGTGACACAAAATATTATCACATTTAAAAAAAATGTTTATCAAAGAGAATTGAAGAGCTTAAATTTTTTTTTTTTAAAGACGAGCGTAAAACTCAAACTATATACTCATAATAAAATGAAATGATTTTTAACACTTGTGTGATAAGGAACTTCTCGAATTGAAGGGTTTCATTTATTTTTAAACAAATTATAATTAAAAAATTTTTAAATTTTAACTTTAAAATAAAAAAATATATCTTATTTTTGGTTTCCCGTTCGATATCTGGGAAGGGACTTCATTCTGATTAATCTGGATCGAACCTGCGTCATGCATATGAAAATGGTGGGTGAGTATCCCAACAAAAACTGCTGCGTACACAAGATCTCAAATTCAAAATTTTATTTAAACTGAAACAAATCACTTATCACTTGAACCAACCCTTTGTTGGGAATATATATAATATATATATCTTATGATAAATATATAACTATCGTTGTCAGAGTTCCAGATGCGAATTGAAGGGCTTAAGAATTGAAGGACTTAATTATTCTGATTTTCATCGACAAAATGTACAAGCATGTGTGAACTACATGGTACATTTCTCCAACAAAGAAGCAGCTGCACACGTGTTGAGCAGGAGATAAAAGAGCTTGGAAGAGGGAGAGCCTGAAGGAGCCAAGTGGGCTGTACGTGTCGATCGGTTGGAGCCCGATAAGTTTTTGGGGACAGGAGACACCAATTTTCATCGTGGGGTTGTTAGAATTTGGACTTTTGCTTACGTTGGTCTGCTACTTCTGGCCCCATGCCACCACATTTATAAATTGTCCCGCTCCCATTTTCCAGTCACTCCTCCCTCCCACACCAACGCCCGCCGCCCACAGCTGCCATCGTAGGAGAACTGCTCCGCCGTCCTCCACTCCACCTTCTCCTCCACTACTTGAATGTATATGCCATCAGGTACGCTTGCCTAATCAGAGTTGAGTTACCTTAATTGTGTTTATATCTACTAATTTTAAAGCTCTAAATTTTGTATAAAATCTAACTATACGTGCAAAAAACTACCATACCTAAGAAATGGGTTTTGGATAATGAAGCTTGGTTTAGTACTAGACTATTAGTAGCCAAAAGGAATGGAGCTGTTTAATATAATAGTTAGATTTAGCTGCTAATCCGTGTGCTTGCTTTAATAGGAAAGCTTCTTTATATTGTACTTGCCTTTATAGGAAAGATTCTTTGGGTCTTATATTTTGATTCACCCACCAAGCGAATTATTTCCTCTTTAGGAAACATTACTTTTCACGGCTTGGTTATTTTACTTTCTCGCGTAGGAGTCTATAATGTAGTTCTGTTTAGCTCTAATTAAATTATTTCTAAATTCTAAACTTTTTATACCTTTTACTACGTATGTTAAGAACAAAATTATATATTTTTTTTGTGTATAGAGATGAAATTAATTTTTTCTAAAATTTACTTTTTTTTTGTTCGAGTTACCCTAATTACTACACATTTTTAGAGGTGTTTAAATCAATTGTTTGTATATAATTAGTAATTAATATTTAGTGTTTAATAATAATAATTATTTGTAATTTAAAATGTACAACTTTTTTTATTAAAATTAATAATTAATAGTTATTTTCCAAACACTAATAGATATTTTAGTTGAAAATCATGTACCAAACCAAATCATTCTTTCTACTTTAGGCTCAGGTACACCACCAACAAAAATGGTAGCAGCAGATTCTGAACTTGGCGAGGTGGAGTCTCCACTGCAACCGGACCAACAGCAGAACAGGAACCATCCCATCTCATCGCTTGGAAGACAATCCTCCATATACTCTCTCACCCTCGACGAGTTCCAGCACACATTATGCGAAAGCAGCAGGAACTTTGGGGCCATGAACATGGATGAGTTCCTCACCAGCATCTGGAATGCAGAGGAAAATCAAGCCATCAACTCCACCACCACCAACAATCCCAACAACCAAGTCGTCAATCATGGCAATTTGTCTTTAAATGAGACCCCCAATAACAAAGACATAGCTAAGCAGCATAGCTTGTCGAGGCAGGGGTCACTCACTCTTCCTGCTCCGCTGTGTAGGAAAACTGTGGATGAAGTTTGGTCGGAGATACACAGGGGGCAGCAAGGACAAGAGCAGGGTAGCAGTAGCAATGTTCAGAATCCTGAAAATGCACAAAGGCAGCCTACATTTGGGGAAATGAATTTGGAGGATTTCTTGATCAAGGCCGGGGTAGTAAGGGAACAATGTTTGCCACCTGCACCGCCTTCACAGCAACAGCAGCCCCATTATTATGAGTTGTATCTAACTGCTAACAATCCAGCCATGGCTCAGAATTTTGTTTCTAATAGGCCCGTTATGGGGATGGGCAGTGGTGGTCCGTACCAGACAATGCCTCCAGTTGGAAAGATTGGGGAGTCATCCGTATTTGTTAATAATACTAAGAAAAGTGGTTATCCACAAATAAATGCACCACCACCACCGCAGCCTGTTTGTTATAATGGGAGATTGAGGAATGGTGGCGCATATGGAGTACCAGGGCAGTCAATGGGAATGGTGCCACCAGTGAGTCCTGTGTCATCGGATAGTGTGTGTGCTGGTCAGGTCGATGGCACAGCCATGCAGTTTGGAATGGTTATGAATGGACCAAGAGGAAGGAAGAGGATTATAGATGGTACCGTAGAGAAGGTTGTTGAAAGGAGGCAAAGAAGGATGATTAAAAACAGAGAGTCTGCTGCAAGGTCTAGAGCCAGAAAACAGGTACCTTGTCTAAAATTTCAATGATGGAGTAATGCAATTGGATTCAATTCGCATATATAATTTACAAGAGATTATGGTTTTCTGCAGGCGTATACAGTTGAGTTGGAAGCAGAATTGAACCAACTGAAACAAGAGAATACCCATCTTAAGCAGGCTCTGGTAACACTAATCTCTGTTGCTTTATTATAAAATGCTAGGTTTTCCATGTAGCTTTCGACATTTTTTCCATGGAAGAACTTGATCTCATACTGGTTTTGCAATTGAACAGGCTGACCTTGAGCAGAAAAAGAAGCATCAGGTACTTCTACGGAATCATCTCCCCAATACATTATAGCTGATGCAAATATGAGCTTAGAACGTATGATTAAAGAGGGTATCATATACAGGTTTTGCTTCCTTTTGTTTTGCAGTGCTTTGAAGAAGGGAAAATGAAAGCTCAAACCAAATCTCAGAAAGCTAGAGAGAAACTGAGAGTAATGAGAAGGAATCTGAGTTGTCCTTTGTAAACCATCAAGAATGAATCACGTAGCTGACTCTTAAACAGTACTATTTTTATTGAATAATTAATCAGATGTAGAAAGTTCAGAAAATGTTTTAACACATGCATGCAATTTGGGCATAATGTTTGTTCTTGTGGTTGAGGTGAGAAAACATTTTCATGTGTAAACTGTATGTAAAACAAACTCTAGTTAACTTTATTTATGCATGATTTGTTGCTTGCCTTACATTACATTGATTTCTCCAAACAAATTTTTAGCAAGGAAAATTGAATTCATATTTTGCCTGAACTAAAGTTGTAGGGTTTTAAAGATGATAGTTTTGTTGGCACAAAATAGTGATAATTTTGATCTATTTCACCTTCATATTGATATATTGGAGTAAATTCAAGCAACATAATCACACTGCACCAAAACAATGGAAATGAATCAACTGAAATTTTAGAGGATTATTCTCATTGCATAATTGGTGTATTCAATGATGTTAAGTGACGAGACTATATGATCAGGGAGGGGACAATAGGATTGGTGTGACAATTTGCAACTCAAAATAAATTTGTGCTATTAATGCATGGGAAGGACAAGAGGATCCCAATTCTAATACTACACCTTCTGTATATTTTTTTCTTTTGCCTAATTTTGTAAATTAGGCTTGATCCACTTTTGCATTTTATAGATCTTCCTTCTCATGAAAAACTAACACTAGTGAAGAAAAACTCTTTTTTCTCCTGTTATAGAAAGAAAATAATTTACAAAATTACAATATCCACAGCTCACATGAATAATGCAATGGTACAACAAGGATCCATTGGTGCCAAATTAGAATTCAGCTATTCATGAAACAGTTATTCATTGCTTCTAGATTCTAGGATTCATTAGGATTTTTCAATGAATAACTATTTCTTGAAATTGGAACATCTCTCTATGACTCCTAGAATCCAATCTTAGAAGCAATAACATATTCTACAATCAAGTTGCAGCATAGCCACATTCTGGAAACGAGATGACCCCAAACTAGAAAAAACGTTCAGCCTCATCATAATTTAGGGGATAGATGAGTTAACTGAGGTAAGGAAGTAGATACAGACCCGTTTCTGAACAAGATAGTCCAGGACTTTTAGGGTAGGGTTCTTTTCTTTCAAGTTTATTTTTCTATTTTATTTGGATGTCCAGGGTAGGGTCTGAGCCCAACCCTAAGCCTGCCCGTGTGCTGTGTCCGCCCCTAGAGGAACCTGACCCTTCTCTGTGTGGAGATGTTGGCTAACTCAACATTCTTCTTCCAGGAATTCAACATCAAGCTTTTGTATGAAAATATGAAGAGGCTATGATCATTCTAATTCAATTAAGCAGAGTTGGTTGGCTTTTCTAGTGCCCTGTATCACCCTAGTTTGCTCTGCTGGTTGGATTTTCCACTATGGCTGATTGCCTGCAAGGCGAGATTCTGAAATCTGCAGTAATGAAGATTGGCACCTTTGTATACTAATTCTTTTCACCGTGAGAACAAGTAATGTTTTGTTTGGTGAAGAAACATTTTGTATGAGAAAACCAAAAAACTTCTTAAACAAGCTAAAGATACATGAACATGAATGATATTATTCTTTTGGTTTGGATGAGTTTTCCATACAAAATTGTAGCCAGAAATCTCAAATTCATCCTGTTCAAACTTGAATCTTGAGATATTGATTTTAATGATCATAATATTAATTTACTTATTTCTCTCCTTTCTTCCTTTTTTTTATTTTATTTTATTTTATTTTATTTTTTTTTTTTGTTATTACTCGACATAAATAAGTTTTATATTTCAACTTGATTATGATACATTGGAGGAAACTAAAGGTGTATCACCATCAAATTGAAAAAGATTTATTCACCACCAACAGTAAGAGGAGATCCAAAAGTTACTGTCATTAGTGTTAAAATTTGAAACTTAAATTTTTTGTTTTGCTTAGAGTATAAAACGAATCCCTGCATTTGGAAAAATTGTTCTTATCATACTTGTACCACTTTATTGTTCCCTAGTGTCTCTAGAGTTTTACCATCATTATGCAAAATGCAATTTTTAATTAACTACAATACTATCTTTGAAAATGACATGTCAGTAAAATAAGTTAATATATGTTGAAAGTGTCATTTTTATGAAATTCATGACTCACGTGATAATTTATGCTTTTTGTTGTTAGTGTTTAGTTTTATTTTTTTAAAAATGTGTCATGTTAATGAAATGGTAATTTACTTCTAACTGTTTAAGTAAAATAAAAGTTTAATATATTATCCCTTGTGACTCACACCATAAAGGAAGAAAATAATTTTTGAGCTTGATCTTTTCTTCAAAAATATATATAATTACTCAAATGAGAATATACCAAAAAAATGAACTACAATTTCTTCTATACAAATTATATTTTTTATAATCATAAATGGAGGAACGAGTCCCTTAATATTGAGGGTCCACTCCTCCATTAAGTGAGAAGCATTTTTCATGTGTAATCTACCTCTGAAAAAAACTCTAGTTACCTATATTTATGCATGAATTTTTTTTCTTGTCTTACGTTACATGATTTCTCCAAACAAGTTGTTAGCCAAGAAAAATTGAATTCATATTGCCCGAAGTAAAGTTGTAAGGTTTTGAAGATGATAATTTTGATTTATTTTGTTGTTTTACAATTTATTATCTCCTATTTCAACTTCATATTGACATATTGGAGTAAACTAAAGCAACATAATCACACTACACCGAAACAATAGAAATAAATCAATTGAAATAGAGGAGAATTATTCTCATTACATGACTGGTATATCCAACGATGTAAAGTGGTAAAACTATAAAAATAGCTGTGGGAGAAGAGAATTGGTGTGGCAATTTGCAACTCAAAAGGGATCTCATATATGCAGGATAAGGTGGTAACTTTAATGTTGGAGGGTAATAGTGGATTTTTCAATTCGCGCCATTAATACTACTTAGGAAAGGCAAGAGAATCCCAATTCTAATATACTTTTCTCTGATTTTTTTTCTTTTGCCTTTGTTGAATGGCAATGAGATTGGTGTTGTTTTTTATTTACTGTAGCAGCTAGTTGTGTTTGACAAATGAGTAATTACACTGCTTTTTAAGTGTTTTTTTATTATATTAATTAAAGAAATTTTCTAACGTTGTGTCTTAAAGATATTTTTATTGTATATTTTTATTATTAATTTACATAAAAATAAAAGTTGACTTTAGATTTAAGTGTCCAATTAAATTATTTTATGTGACATTAGTGTGAAAAATAAATTTTATCTTTGTAATTTTCGATACTAATTAATGGTGAAATTATGCACATTTAAAAGCACAAATTAAAAAACCCTTAATTAAATATTGATCTAAGTTTTGTATTCATAGATCCTTTTCTCATGAGAAACTAATCCCACTTAAGAAAAATTTTTCTCACATCACATAAAAGACATTAATTGGTACATACTTCAATTTAAAACATTATGTAATATATTTATTAAAAATTACCAGTTTTGAATATGAAATTAAAGAAAAATAAATTTTAAAATATAACTATGCATGCCAAACTGAGGAGTTAAATGAATTAATTATATTTATATTATATTTTAATAATTAAATCAAAACAAATGTCGAAAAGCATATTTAACTGAGTATGAACCAATTATTTTCCTATAATAATTTACAAAATTACAATATTCACAACTCACATAAATAATGCAAATAAACTAAAGCTTGTACTTTGTTTTCATTATCATGGGATTCATTTTTCATGTATTGTCCGCTTAGGTGAGAAAACATTTTTTGTGTGTAAGCTAAAAGCCTCTAAAACTAACTCCAGTTACATGAACTAGAGTAATATTCTTCTGTTTTGTATGATTTTTTGCTTGTCTTGTTTTACATGATTTCTCGAAACAAATTTTTAGGGAAGAAAGCCAATTTTTTTTGTTGCCTAAACTAATTGGTAATTAAATTGTTGGTTTTGATTATGATAATATGGTTGCTAAAATAAAGAAAATTTATATTTTAACTTTGTAGTGAAATATTGGAGTAAACTAAAGCAACATAATCCAAATGGATTAAGAGTATGCAAAGAAAAGCTCATACAATCCATAAGGAAAATTTCTAATAAAATTAGAGACAAACCAGAACTTAAATTTTAGATAAAATTAGCACCAAACCAGAACAATGCGAAAAAGCCCTACCTGCTAAATAAGAAGTAAAAGACGGTATTAAGTCCTCTGGGAAGGTTATTGTTTCTCAGTAACTTTGTTGCTGCAAAGGAACATGAATCTAGTGGTTCATGATTATGTACCGATGGCAAATTAGGAATCATTTATGGTACTGTTTCTAATACATTACTAAAATAAGTAGAGAACAGTAAGAGAAATTGAAAATGAGGGTATTCTAAATGTATAGACCTCTTGTGAAATTGTGCAAATATTTTTAATAAATTTTTTTTGCGTGTTAATTTATTTAAGGGTAGTTTGACTTTTCATTATTATTTTTGACATTTTAATTTGTAAAGATGTCTTAGATTTTCTTTGATTCCTGAGAGAATTAATTATAGAAATAAAAAAATGTCCATCAAAGAAAAAACAACTTTCATTTTCTTACCCTCACCATCTTCTTGTTTGCATGTGCTGTCAATTACAACCGAGTTTTTCTTAAATCTATTAGTGCTTAATTATTCCTTTTTTTTTTCAATTAATTTAACAAAAATTGATCCTTTACTACATTAATGGATCTTATTTTCAAGAAAAACAACGGACTATTGAGAAAAATAATTTAGACAAATACAAAAATCACAATTTACATGAATAATGCAATGGTACAATAAGGATTCCCAGATGCCAAATTAGCATCAGGTTTACAACAGAAATGTAAACTTATATCCATTTTTGCAGTTGGCACCCACTGCTCTAAGGTCCTCTACAAGCATGTGAAGCAGATGATGTTCCTCTGTTTACTTATTTGCATGCAGTTATCAGTTCTCCGTGTTAATTAAACATGTTAGTTCAGATCTCAAAATATTGTAACTATAGACTGCATTCTTAACTATTGCCCTGCTTGGTAGCGCCGGAGCTTGTTGTCATGAAAGATTCACCACAACCACACTGCCCTTTAGAGTTTGGATTGATAAATAAGAACTCAGAGCTGCAGCAAAAGGGAAAATGAATTCTGCATTAAGATATTTGGGTTTTGTGTGTGTACTGAGAGTAGCAATACCATCATGCAGGAGGAAAATGAGCTCTGAAATAGGAAAATGTACTACAAAGCATCAGCTTCATAACATGAGGCACAAGCAGAATGAATGCATATAATCTATGTGTATCATCTTCACTTTTGGCAATATGTGGTCTAAAAATATAGAAAATTAAAAAGGAATCAAATTAGCCAAATGGTATTAAGAACTCATATAAAGCAGGTTACAGCAATACAGCATTTATTGTAATGATCTAACTCAACTCAATAAAATATGTTCAGGATATTGGTCAACACAGCTTGTAAGAGCTCATAAGAATCTAAATTAAATGTTTTTTCATGACAACACTTGAGATGATGATCATGAAAAACCATGTGTATCCCAGTAAATGCTAGAAAATCATTCGTCTGAAGCAGCACATTCATCAAAGACAAGGGAATTGAAATAGCTTACTATAACAGATTTAACAATATGATGGGAGTAGGCGGGTGGCATAAAATGAGGTAACGTTAACAATGATTTACCACTAGTGCATAACTGAAGATGACAATAGACAGGTAAAGGTGAGTCCACACAAATGGTATGACTCTCTTAAATACCACTTAATGTCATTGGGCTTGGTAATGTATGAGGGAAGGACGGTATGTTGAAGCCAAGAGAAATTTCAATGAGAAGACAAAAGTAAAAACAAAATGTTGATTACGTTCACTTGATAATCAAGTGAACCATGAGCAAAATTTTTGCCAAATTTCCTTCTATGAACTCTCGGTCCATCCACACAAATAAAAGAAAGGCTCAAAAATTCTAGCTAGTTGCTCATTTTTATAGTCTTATATACAATGATTTATCAGAACAAAAACGGGGTTACCAAGAACTAAACACATTGAAAAATATCAGAGCCAGGAAGCATATGAAGTAAAATATATAAATGCAAGCAAGCCTTACAGTCAGGCCTTTTTATACCTGAGTTTGTCATCTACAAAATCCATCTTGGTCCCAATGACAATCATCAGAGCTTTTGGATCAATAAGTATCTTCACACCCTTGTCCTCAACCAACTCATCGAATTTCCCTTTCTCATCTATCAAATTTGGAGACATTCCAGAAAAGAAAAAAAAAAAGAAAAAAAAAATCAGACCCAGCTTCTAGAACTCTAAGTCACACCAAAAATAAAAAGAAAAGCATTTGTGACAACTAGCTCTCCAAGAAGCTTTTTAAGTCTTTCTTGATTTTTGACAGAAAAAAAGTTAGCATTCCAATTTCCATCCATAATCATAGAGGTAGCCCTAATCAGGCACTGAAAAACAAAACTAGAACAAGCAAAGACATGAGTCTATCCCATATTGGTTTGTTTGCCCCAGAAAAATTCCATCTCTAGCACAGATGGGTTCTTCTTTACAACATACAAAAACAAGATACTTTTATTCAATACAGAGGAAATAAAAACTTCAACGAAATCATCCCAATGTGGATGAATTAGTCTAATTTACCATCAAACTTCATACTTGCTGATGGAAATTTAAAAAAAAAAAAAATCCATTTGACCCCTAGAGGGCCAATTTCCAAATTGTGACTTAACACGAGAAGAATAAAAATCTAATTAATCAATATGCAATCCACCATTCTTAGACAAGAGAAATATGGAAGAAAACGTCCTGAGCTTCTCGGAGGACAACCTACTGAAAAATCAGAAATCCCCTGAAATGGCGTGAGAAGACCGGCATCAATGGTCTACCAATCGCCGCCTCCTAACTAAGCCAACATGGCACCAAATTCAAGCATATGGGTACTCAAGGAGGCGGTAGCACATCCATTACAGAGCAAGAACAAACAATCCATACAAGAAAAAACATTAAAGTTGCCAACTTTCCAAAATTTCATGGGCAGATTACAGATTCGAAGAATAAAGGAAAGAATAAAATGGGAACCGACCAGCGTAATTGAGGGTGTAGGATAAGCCATTGCAGCCACGAGCCTTGACGCCCAACCTCAGGAACGGTCGCTGGCGTTGCTCCAGCAGATGGCGTATTCTGTCAGCGGCGGCGTCCGTCAAGGTTAGGGCTTGCCGCCTCGCTCCGGGGGCGATTTTCTCTGCTGCTGCCACCAACAATCTGGAAGCCATGATTCCGGAACCAAGTTCAATGTTAGATTGTTGCGTAAATGGTTTTGATTTCAATCTTGAATCGAATAATCTGGTGTCGACCTAAACTAAATCTGTCGGGATTTAATTGGACTCCTTCCAAAAACTTTTGAATTTTATTTTTTTTATGGCAAATGAAATTATTAAAGCCATCAAAAATT